CTCGAAAATGGTTGGCATTTTGTCTCTGCCCTTATGACAAGCTGGTGGATGTGTAGCAAGGGCAAAACCAAAAACAGCTTGAAATGTTGGTACCTGAGGAGTTGTCTATTTCATATTAGCAGACTTGTCACAATGTCCAAATTCAGTGTTTCTCCTAGAAACTATGACCTGCTCTCCAACCTCTAGCAGCATGTGATCAGGATCAGATAAAAATAGGGAGGTGAAAGTAAATGTGCAGTAATCATACTGGAGACAGTGAGTTTCCATCAGCTCTGCCCTGACGAATGCTTGCGAGTGACGCCTGTCCCCAGAAGACCTGTGGTCCTGAGCGTAGCTCCCGACCCAGCCACTGTGAACCATGTTGGGCCCCACAGAAGAAAGGAAAACAGGAGAGACATTGGACTGGATCTTCCAGAAGGTCTTTGTTGCAATTTTCTCCAACATTGAAAAAAAATTACATCATCAAATAAAGACAATAGCAGCACAGCGTATTGAAATGTTACAAGCAAAGTTGCTTTTGTACTTTTCCTAAGAACATTACGAAATTCCCTCCTCCCCCACCCCACATTATTTTCTGTAAAATGCCTTTTTTTTTTAAAAGCACCATGAAATCCTACAGAGAGAAAAATAGGTAAAACACCTCCACACATGGGTTTATCGTCGTCACGGGGTCCCCTGCCTGGGATTCTGGGACGGGGAAGGGGCCGGAGGCTGGCACGTGGGTCGGTTTGCATATCGCTTCTAGGCACCCCTGCACCTTCTCCCTTCAAGCTCAGCGCCCTGATGGCAAAGGGGAGGCTTCCCAGTTATCCTTGGCGGCACAGGACTGCTGTAGAGATGGAGCGGGAATGCTCTCAAGGATTTTTTTTTTAATGCACAGGGAACTATTTGAGATTTTTTGCTTAAGACCAAGAACAGAAAGATTGCAAATCTCTTAGGCACCTGTGAACACGATCACTTTCAGTCAAATCAGAGATGCTTCTTATTTCTCTTCATTGTCACGGTGCTGATGTCACATGACCCAGGGACCGCCAGGGGAGGGCTGAGGTTTCCATGGACTGTGGGCGGGCTGGTGAAGCACAACACAGCTGCTTCCTCGTGCAAGGACAGAGGGCGGGACTTTATTCACAGCCACGGAAACAGCCTGCTGTTCCAAAGTCTCCACGCTCAGAAGTCACAGCCATCCACAACGTCAAATCAAAGTCACCTTTGTCTCAGAAAGTTGCCATTTTTATTTTTTTAAGGCCATGACTAACTAGCTCTCACACTCCACCACCGAGAGCTCGCCCTACTCACGCAGCCACTGTCTTTGCACAAAACTGCATCATAACCGTGAGAAAGAATAACCCCCACTTGAAACATTAACGGGATGCGGGAAGCAGAGACATGAAATATAATACTGGCTTTTTTAAATCTTTCAAATCTTTTCTTTTTTTTTTTTAATTTCAGAGTCTCTGCATGTTGGTTTTCCTATGCTCCTCCTGTGGTTCAGAAACCATAGTACATATTGAAGGGTCAACATTCTTACCCCATATAGTGAGTTAAAACCTGCCCTAACCAAATTCTGGCCACATTCTCACTAAGCCCCCAAAACCAAGCATACCGATATACGGGCAGCGTCGACTCAGCCAGGAAGTGATACCATCTCGGAGGGAGGCAGGGGTGCTCTGTTAACGTCTAACTCGACTAAGACGTTCAACACGGAATGGTCCCCAGAGGACTCAGAGCAGCCATTTCTCTGTGTGTGTGTGTGTCTGTCTGAGTGAGCAATATCTACCTATATTATATGAATCCATAAAGTAATCAAATGGAACCTTTACTACAAATGACTCCAAATAGCAAAGACTTAAAATTCTTTAAATAGTCTTGACACCAGGCAAGAATTGCCCGCATAGCCTGATTTCCAGGTGATAGTGTGCTGTAAAGGAGAACAGCGTGAGTTTACACAGGGCGTGGTCCTGATCTGGACACCAGGCTCCCAGATACATCTGGTCTCCATCAGTCACCCAGAAAAAAAAATCCCCAAGGGCAGGAGACAAAGCTCTCATCTTCACCTAAGAGAAGTGGGTCCCATTAGTCAGTATCTGCAAATCCAGCTATCAGTAGTCTTAGGAAATTTAATTAACTCATGGACCAGGGACTGTTTGGTCAGAAAACTGCAGAACTAAAAGGGACCTTGACGACTCTATGTTCAACTGCCTTGATGTGCCGATGAGGTAACAGAGAGATACAGGCAAGGGGGCAGAGGTGCCCAAGACCACAGGCTGGGACTGCAGAGCACAGACAAATAGTCCCAGTCCCCTCAGCTGTAGGTCAGGGACACCTCTACCTATGCATACATTAAGGCCCTTCCCCAAAAGTGATAACGTCCTAGAGTCGCTACTGGGTTAAGACTGGGCATCGAGCTGAATTCTCTCCCAAACTGTCTCTTGGCTCTCACCAGATCTGCTATGGAGGAAAAATTCAATCCCCATTCACCAGGAGAAACGATGGACACTACCCACTTACAAGCCGCACCTGTGCCCTTCCCGTGTGCAAAACCAAAACATTTTCTGCAGGTGTATCGGGGGCAGGTGGAGAGTGGAGCTTGGAAGGGTGGGACTGTGCGTGTCCTGACTCTAACGCAGCTCTGCCTTAGCCATGTGAATTCTACGTGTTATTTGGCCCCCTTTTACAAAGGGCGCTTTCAAGCAGCTCCAAAACAACTAGCCTCCCCTCAAATCTTAGCTCGTCCGCAGGAAGTGGGGTCCAGCCTCTCAGGCCCCCTCAGCTGCTCCTCTGGAGAGAACATCATAGTTTGTCAAACACTTTGCCCACGTATTCAGTGGATCAGTCTCCACGAAAGGAGGGCGCTTCTTTGATCTTATTCATCAGGGCCTTGGCCCCATCGGTACTCGGGAACTCCCAGCTGATCCTTCCTCCGCATTACCGTGGCTTGACCTGTTGGGGCCAGTGCCTTGCACACACCAACACCTGTTCTGTTTGGCAGAGCGTGCAGCTTAGTGCTTTGAGCTGTTTGATTCCAGCTGTACGCCGAGTTTCCGCAAGGTAAGCAAGTAAAGTGCAAAAGCGTGCTTTCAAAGGGCATTTTTAACAATACAGAAGGGGCCCCCCATACAGCGTTCCCAACACTGAGACCAAAAGAATGTACAGTAAGCGTCTGCAAGGGCAACCCATTAGGCCCTGTTTACACAAAGCCCTTAGACCCTCTTGATAGTAAAGACCTTCTCCCGTATCTGTATGCTGTGTCCATGAAACTAGAAAGACACACACGCATGCACACACACACACACTCACACTCACAAAGGTGCACAGCATGGACACCATAGAATGGGGAAAGCAGACTTTGGTCAGACAGACTTCGAATACCAGCTCTAGTCCCTTCTTGCTGTGTGCTCTTCCCTGAGCCTCCATGTCACCATCTGCATCATAAGTTTGCAAACCCTTCCTGCGGAGTCTCGCTGTGAGGCTTCAGTGAGCCCACGGCCATAAAGTGCCTCATCTAGTGTCTGGTCCACAGAAGCCACTGGATGTACGATAGGGAAGCCTTTCTGCCAGACTTGGCTCTAGGGTCTAGAACTTTAGCCCACTACTATAAAAGTACCAAGTAACAGAGGGTGGAAACTCAAATGAATGAGATCCTTGGGGAGTTTAATCACAAAGCTTTTAACTTGTCAGAAGAAGAAAGTCCCACTTACCTACCAATTTCTTAAAACGCATTTTGACAGGCTGAAATGATGGCAGTGAGAACCATCGCCCACCCTGCACATGCACCGTTCCCAGGTGCCTGTGTATCACTGTGTGGACACAGGGTGTCGCCAGTGAGCCACGGCTCCAGCCCCATGGAGGCCTTCCCCCAAACCTGCCTTGGACAGGAAGGACCTCAGCAAACTTCACTCTTACTTGGCTCCTTCCCCAAAGTAAAGCCAGAACTTTAACTAGAGCCTAAAATTTAGCAGGGGGGCGGGGGGGGGGGAATGGGGGATGGGGAGGGGCTGTGTGAGCTCCAGACAAGGGAGAGCTGTGCATTTTTGAAAACTGGGCAGGAAGAGAGATCTGCCGTGGTATCAGGAGTCAGGGATGTGGTGGGTATAATTTTCCCTGGAAGTTGGAATGCACTATGGATTTCTGGAAGTCTTTGCTGGTCCTGCGACCTGATAAATCCACTGTGTGGTATTAGTTATGTGACATCTCCAAACAGTGGCATTGAGCCTAGAAGGTCTCAAACCGGCAACTTCTTGGTGTTACCAGGTCCAACTGCTTAAGTGTGTGGCCCAAACAGCTAAGCTGGAACCAGCACAATGGCCAGCCAACTCTGGAAAAGACGGCGGCACACACAGGATGGTTGGCCTAGGACACATTTTTCCCTTTCTGATAAAAACCCACTTAGAATCTCCCTCTTCAAACCTACGACTAGCCACTCCCCCCACCCCCCGACTCTCCTTCACTGGATGTTCTATCGCGTGCTGGTTCCTGTTTGCCTAGAAACAATCACAGTGGTTCCAATTTTAGTGGCTAGCAGGTGTGAGATAAAAAAACGAGCAAGGAAAAGAAGTGATGCTTTCAGAATAAAGGAACACCCGAACATGAAAGTGAAATCTTTCAAATACTTCTTTTAAGTTTTGTTTTCTGTTTTTTGTTTTTTCAAAAACGGCAATAATGGCACTTAAGCGGCAAGCAATGAAAACAATTCAATCTTCCTGTACAAGGGTTGGTTGAGGGGTTAAGTTTCCTTTTGTTTGCAGACAGTAAGACTGGACCTCGGGTCACTATGTCTACCCTAAGACACCCAAAGGGACAAGAAGCCCTGAGATGGAATGATGCCATGGTCCTCCTTGGTATGTCTCAGACATGCAGGATGCCTATTTTTCATAAAAATTTAGGATCAGCTAGACAGAACAGCAAGCCACCGGCATCATGCAAGGCAATGATAGTTTTGGTATTTTTCCCCTCTTACCAAAACAAATTGTAACAGAAGTTCCACTAGAAAAGTGAACGTGAACATTTCAAAACCGGTTTATTTTCACCATTGCACCCACTGAGGAAAATGCATGATTTTTGCCTGTAACCATGCAGCGGCTGAGGGTGAGTTCTCACCAATGCTTGCAAGTTTGTTTGGACTACCCGCCCCCGTGAGAAAGACAAAATTCAGTAGGCTTCAGTCATTGGTTAAGGTAATATCCACAGTGTGATGTGTTTGTGATTTATTTTATTTTTTTCTTCTGTAATGAGGAAAGCAATTGCACCTTTGAATACGTGTGCTCTGATCTGCTGCCAGCACATTCCAGGTGCTCTCCCGGGTCCCAAGGACATTGATTTGGAGCTTAGAAAGACTAGGTACGCACTGAACGGTTTGTATCAAAACTGGAGCTCAGAACATGTCCGAAGTGCCCGCTCTAACCCTAGTTACAGGTGCCACTTCACCCTTGGAATCCCGTCCCCTTCTGTGTGTGCACATATCACTAAGGGTAGGTCCGTTTAAAAGACACGCGTGTTCCTTTCAGACGGCTGGTCTACAGAATAGCTGCCCTTTGCTACCCGCCGCAGCGGGACGGCACTGCCCGGGGGCACAGCGTCGCCTCGGACGCGCTCGTGACCTCCTACGCGTGCGAAGGCTCCGTGGGTGTCCTGCGGCCCTGGCGGCAAGTCCTCATCCTTCAATTCCTTTTGGCAGAGCAAGCTTTCTCGGTGGTTTATGGCACAGTGAGACAGAGTCTTCAATGCTATGTAACTTCGGACTAAGGAGAAGTCTTGTTTAAGGCACGTGTCTCAGGGTGAATATTAAAAAACCCCACAACGCTGGGTACAGTCCAGCGTCCTTACCTCTTAGTTTCTGTCTTCAAGTAACGCTTTGTTCTCTGGCTCCCTGTCTTTGGTGTCCGTGGGGACCACCCCGTCCTCCGCCCCGGCCTGCGGCTGGATGCAGTCAGTCAACAGGGCCGTGCTGGAGTGGTCCGAGTTGCACACCTTCTCCCCCTCCTCCTCCTTCCTCTCCTCGTCCAGGGAGTAATTCCGGAAGCTCCTGTAGATCTTCTGCACGTCCTCGGGCAAGGCCTTCTTGGTGTCCTTGTTTTTCCTCTTGGTGAGCCTGGAGGTGGACCCGAACTTGTTGACGATGTTGTCCTCGGACGCCCCCTGCCCGTGTTTGTTCAGCTGCTCCGAGCCCTGCAGGCGCAGGTTGTTGGGCCGGTTGTTGATGCTCTCCTGGGACGAGGCCTTGAAGCGGCCGGCGTCCAGCGCGGCGAGGACGGAGCGCTTCTCGGGCGAGAGCACGTCGAGCGAGTGGGCCCTCTGGTCCAGGCCCAGGCGCCGGCGCTCCATGCTGCGGAGGGTGGCCGCGCGCTGCAGCTTGTCGTGGATCTCCACGCTGAGCCGCCGCCGCGTCTCCCGGAACTCGGCCGTCACGTTGGCCTTCCACTCGGCCGCGTGGGCCTTGATTTCACCCACCTGGCGGGGACACGGGACAACAGTCGCGCGCTGAGAAATCCACCTCCGCCTCGGGCCCTCCTCCCACCCAGCGCCCGCAGCCCTCGGGCGTCCCCCAGGGGAAGGAGGCTGGGGCTGCTGGTGGCGCATAGGCCCAGCGGGAGGAGCGGCGTGCTACCCCAGTCCTTCCTGCTGCCTGGATAACTCATCTCAAATGGCTCAGGGGGGCGCACATGCTGGGGAACCCAACGGAAGCCTGAGATCTGGAGACGGTAACTGTAGGAGAGGCAGATGGCATTGTAGGGGAGAGGTCAATATTTGGAGATGGACAGGCCGGGGGGCCGGCTGTTTCTATCCTTTTAAAAATTATCTGGCCTGTTCCTCCAGCATAACTCTGGGCTCACAGAGTTTTTCATGTTTCATGAGATAACCATGCACCGAGCTGGGTCCTGGGCACAAAGCAGATGCTCTCAGCAGGTCCTATGCCCTTCCTTGTCCCTCCAAGTAGCTCACTCTGGGGAGCGTGACCAATTTCGCCCAGTTAGCCTGGGAATGTCCTGAGTCCTCGGTACCACGTCAGTCCTGGGCAAACTGGTAGAGGTGGTCACCCCGTTCCTGGGCCACGCTATGGCCTTGTGCTACCCAGCTTTCCTGCTATGCAAAGATCCCCCGGGGCACCTGGTAACCGAATTTCCCCAGTCTGGGTGCAGGAAGGGGGCATGCTCTGCCAAAGCCCGCAGAACACACTGCCTTAGAGTGAAGCTTCACAGGGGGATCAGTACCAAGACTCTGGGCTCTGACTCAGCAGGGGTAACAGTACAAGTCTCATGCTTTCCTGTACAGATGAGTGACTCAGATTTCTGAATTAAGGAATGTCAATATTTATGTTGTTGGTTTCTCTTTCATTACAGCTGATTTCAGGGAGGTCAGCTCTCTGGGGAATCAGACTGGAGACTGCACTGATATTGTTTGTGCAAGCCAGAAAAATTAAGCCATTGGGCCCAAGTGTGATAAGGGAGATGTCTCCGTTCCACAACGCTCTCCCAGGGGCTTCCACACAGAATGACCACATTCTGGGATGGGAACAGTCACCCTTAAAGAGGCTGTCTCTCTTTCTGTTTCTTTGGGTTTTATCTCCTTTCCTTTCTTTAGCACTTTCTTTCCCTTTACCTTGCCCTCCTCCTTCCTTATCTCTTTTCATCTGTTCCCAGAAGAACGACTTGGGCTTTTTTTTTTCATTTAAAAAAAAAAACAACTCTACCCTTCTTCCTTATGAGTTCCTTCTCTTGCCTCTGGGTAGGTTTCCATGCACATTTATGTGAGGGAGTAGGGTCTGTGTGCCCCTGGCCACAGAGCTGTATTTGTTTCTACGAATCTGACAACCAGCAGGGGACATAAGTGTAAGGCACAGCCTTGAGTTCACTTCCCCATGGCTGGCCATGGCTCAGTGACTTCAGTATCATACAGAACTGAGAAAAAGTTGACATACTTGCTGATCAGGGACAATTGCACACCTCCCTCAACTGTAATCTACCTCTGCTGACTATGTCTGGTGTTTTGTTTTTTTTTCTTTTTTAAAGATAAGTTGTTGTTTACTAGTCCTTCCATGATCTGTGGGCTGGTGAGTCACCAGATTTCCTCGCCTGCCAAAAAAGGGATCCAGAAATAACTGCTATTCCATTTACCTTGGAGTTTAAACTGATTCAAGAATTCAAAACAAGGAAACCTACGAGCCCTTCATGTAGTAGAAAACAGTCCAGCCCATAGAATAGAGACACATAATTCTTGACACGAGCTAATCTGATCTCAGGAACATTCATAGAATCTGGAAGGAAGCCTACCTCTTCTTTTGTCTTTTTGGACAGAACCCGTAGCCAGTCTCCGATCATACTGAGGACAGCTGCAAAGTAGGCAAGGCCAACAAGGATCCAAAACCACACTAGGGGCTTATACCACTCCCGGTAATTGATGCCAGCGTTTCCCCCTGAAAACAACCAAACGTTACTTTAACCAGGATCTAGCACACGGTCTTTGCAGCGCAAACATGTCGCAGTCCATGCAGCAGAGATGTCGCCCCATCACCAGAACACGCAGCTACTAGGCCCTGCTGCATACAAGATGTGACATGGCTGAAAGGGCAAGGAAAAGACGTGTCCCTTCTTCCCTAAAGGAGCCTGACCTGTGGCTTAACTTCCTTTGAATCTTGACCACTAAACCGTTAACACTTGGAACAAAAGGATGTCAGAGGCCAACTTGATCCACCTACTTTAAACTTAAGCTTGATGATGAATGACTTGAATTAGAGGGACAACAAATCGGGCCCAGTTGTCAATTTTTGCTTAAACTGCCTTAAATTTAATAAACATAAAATATCATTAAGTAATCCCAAATGGTTTGGAACTCTTGGAACCATTTCCTCCTTAAGTACACGTGCATTTACCAGGAGATGGCGAGATGTGTGGGAGTAAAATTAGACTTAATGGTATTCCTGTGACTTTGACCCAAGCAATGGTGATTTAACGTTAACTGAGGGATGGTGTTTACATGATGCTAATCCAAGGGGTCAATTAGACTGAGTAATTAGAATCACTGTGCTAGAACGAAAAGGGGCCTTCAAGGCCAGCTAGTCCAAGCCTTTTATTTTATGAATTGGGATTACAGTAAAAATCCATCAGACCAATTGGCTAGTTGCCTGATTGCATTGACTAGCTGTTCCACTGAATGGATCAGTCATTTATTCCAAGTAATTAGCCTTCTTATTCTAGCCCTCCTATAGGCCCTGCCAAAGGGAGCCATGCAAAACAGATTCCAAGCCCAGCCCCCCATCCTAAAGAAGTGAGGAAGCGCGATGAAAAAGCTAATGTCAGCCTTGTTCTCACTCTGTGAGGTGTCGCCCAGGGAAGCAGGCCAGTGGCCATCTCTAAGACAAGCGACATTGGCCGTGGATGAGTAATTATGGTGCTTCATGGTGAGTGAGCATGGAGTTTTCCCGCTGGGTCGTGGTTGTAACCTCATCTGAATCCAGACTGAGCTCTGATGGCATCTGTAATACCTCCCAAAGGCAGCTGGCCAGGCACTGTGGCTTGTGGCTCTTCTAAAAGTGACCAAACTAACTTTGCAGTGCAGCCCACAAGGTCTCCCTCGCTACCACCACTTCTTAGAATTAGAGTTTCAGATTTTGCTAAAGGGCTCTGTGGCATGTACCCCCTCGGTTTGGTTTAGCTGCCTGGTTTTCCCCTTTCGGGCAGCCCTCCCCCTCCGCCTGCTCTAGAATGCGGTCGGAGTTCCTGCAAAGTTATGCGGTTTTTGAGGTTAATTTCCTCTCTGGACTAGGCCGGAGAACTCTGCAGCTTTCTCCTTGGGGCTCGCTGAAAGTTAAGTATTTTACCTTAATGAGTCAGCATTGCCCAAAAAAGGTTGTCACTAGGGGGCGCTAGCGAACAAGCCAGTAACCACCCTTCTGCCTGTTCCCTTCTCAGCTGCTGGCCTGGAATTCAGAACTCTGTGTGCGCTCCCAGTCAGGGTAGCAAAACGCTACCGGCTCAAAGTGAGTCAGCTACAAAAGAAACCAGCACCGTATCCTGCATGGTGATCGATGTTCTGATCATATTTCTGAGCCAATGCCATATCAAACCACAGCAACCATCAGCTCTGGTTAATGTATCTTTTTAAATGATGGGCATCCGTCCCTGTCGCCCATAGAGTATTGCCACAAGGTTGCAACACACTTACAGCGTTCTAAGGCACGCATTCTTCAGATTGGCCCGTGTAAGCTCTGGAAACTGGCACTTAGCAGGGCCTGGTCCAATGGCGGTCAGCACCGTGAATTGTAAAAGACCCAGGGCTGTGCAGACATCAGGACAAAGGAAATCTCGGCTCCGCAGTCAGCGGTAAGTAAGGGAGTTAAAGCAGTGCCCTGCCTGTGACTGCGCAGGTCGCACTGTGACCAGTTAAGGAAGCATAAGGTCGAGTGCTGGTGTGAGCTACATGTATGGTGGCTCACAGTCCCTGGTGGCCAATAAGAATAAATAATAAATTTAAATCTTACACGATTTTTTAACTCCCACATTCTGAAGGTTGTGCTATTTGTGTCCCAGATTAACAGATTAACAGATTGAACTGAGTGACTGGTGAGAGAGCGGGGACTCCCGCAAGTATCCTCCAGCAGACAGTCCTCTAGACAGCCCAGTGTTAGCACGGAGGGCTCCACCGCACAACAGAGTTCAAATTACGCTTCGGGGGAACTTAACGATGGCGATGGAACAGCTCTAAAGTCCAGCTGCCGTTACCTGTATACACCTGGGATTGGAACCTCAGCTGAGTGTTCCCACAGGGCAGCTACAGATGATGCAAAGGAATTCACCGGACAGTCTTTCCCCTTACTCCCCTCATTTCTCCGTGTGGCTTCTTTCCAGAGCTTCAGGCCTCTGATCAAATGGCACCCAGGGACCACTTGCCCAAGCTGAAACGTAGCGCAGTGGATGAACACTGTGCACAAGGAGAGACGGGTGGGGGCCCACGCCTTCCTCGGGCACTTTGTAAACAATTTTTAATGACTTTGACTTTGCAATTGTTGATCCTTAGCCAATGAAAAGGAAGGAAAAATTAAAACTGCTATTTCTGCAAACTAGACTTCAGTCTTCATCTTCCCAATTGGAATAGCTACAAAACCACCCTGCCAGTTCTCTGGATCACAGAATTAGCGTGGCGACGCCCACTCGCCTGTTGGCCAGCCTTCAACATCCTCTCCAGAATTTGCTGTTTTCCACATTCGAGGAGAGGAGATCCCTGCCCTCTATAAATGTGTAAGTTACGATAGAGCTGCTTCATCAGAGCGTTCACTTCTTGGAGTAGAAAACGATCAACTGTCTGACCACCTAGAATCACTCCATTAGGAAAGGGAAGGATGGCCTCCTCCTTCTAGTCCTGCCTTCCTACCACACCCTGGGAAAGTGCTGCATCTAAGAAGCCAGATCTCATTTCAATTTTCAAGCTTCCTGTTCCTAGATGAATTTGATGGTGGTTTTCTTTTCTTCCTTAAGCACAGCGCATTGGCATTTATTTTTACAATAAAGGCCATTGCTTCTGTGCACATTCACACAGAACCCACTGTGGTATCACATTCCCTTGGGGCAGTTCTCAGCTCCTATTGGTCACCTGAGCCTTAAGTCTTGCCCTGGGACATGCTCAGGACAACGTCTGCAGGGACAGTGGCGCTCACCTTCACATCAGGAAGCTCAGTCTGCAGGTCACTGCAGGCTACACTCTGTGCCAATCCCTCCAGAGTTTCCTATTTGCCACTTGCTGATAGAGCTTTTATCAGTTGATTCAAGGAGTCTTAATACAACTCAGAAGTCCAAACTCCAATGAGAAATTCATTTCACTCATGCATAATTCATATGATGATAAGCAGTCTGCATCCTGGGGAGAGAGAGGCTGGCTTCCGCTCGAGGCATCAGCCTGCTGCTGTTTACATCGCCTAGGACCACAGGTTTGGCACGAGCCTGCGCACAGAGGCCCTGGCGCTGAGCCGTTTTCAGTTGCCTCTCCCATATCTTCCCTCGTGGTTTCAAAAAGCACTGCCAACAGAATATTTTCCCCACCAGGGCCCCGGCGACTGGGGTGCCCAGGGTGCTTACCTGCCACAAAGTCACCAAAGCCAACCGTGGTGAGAGTGACCACCACAAAGTAAATGGACTCCAGAGCCGTCCACCCTTCGATGTATTTGAAAATGACGGCGGGGATCGTCACGAACACAACACAGCCGGCCAAGATGAACAGGATGGTTGAGATGACCCGGATCTTGGTCTGACTCACTTGCTTTTTCTGAAGAACAGCAAAGGGGAAAGACAGGCAAGTTAGCTCCGTCACCCTGGATTCGGAAGACAGCAGTTGGGAAAGCACGGCAGTGGCTTTCCACCTTGCTTTTGGTCACTGGAGGCTTTGTGAAAATCTGACGAAAGCTGTGGACCCTCTCCTAGAAAAACGCACATACGGAGTGGTCGAGGTGGTCCTCAGGTCCTAGGAAGCCTGGGGGTGCATGGACCCCAGGTCAAGAAACCCCACTTAGCTCGTGTCTTGAATATCCTTTGCGTGGTTCCCTGACCACAGCCCAGATGCCGATTGTAACTCCCTCACTCGTGCAAACATGACTACTTCCCAAGAAGGGCTTGCTGCCGTTTCTTGTGGGGCGCCACTGACCCTCCACTGGGAGGGCAAAGGTCTGGGGTTCTTTCCACAGTGGTGGTGATGGATTTGCACCCAGTTTCCCTTGTGTCAAAGGGAATGTGCTGGGAAAAAAATGGCTCCCGAGGCAAGCCAGAAGCTTTGGGTGAAAAGAAAGATGCAGCCACCCCATCCTCCTTTTTGACAGACTCCAGCCAAGTATCTCTGTGATTCTTCACCCTCCTGCCCGCTGCTGAGGTTGCGCATTTATAACACACTTTTCTCTTAAAAACACATGTGTTTGAGCCAGTACCATGGTCATCATGTTTGTTAGCTGTATTTCCAATAAGGGACGGGGCAGGAGTCCAAGTTGAGTGACAAGGTCAGTGTCTAAAACGGGTAGTAAGGACTTCATCTCATGTCAGCTTCTGAAGAAGTCAAGTAGTTAAGTAGTAAAGAGATGAAAATGGATTTAGAATGGGAATCACAGTGACACTGGGGCAAGAGAATCGTGTCCACGGCATCCAGAGGT